GCTATGTCGCTGGACTCCCACGTAGTTGACTGCGGTTTGTGTCCCAGACCCGGTGACTTGAAACTCACGCCGGGCGTGTGTGCGTGCGTGCCCAGGATCCTGAGAGGAGAATGGAGGAGAAGGGATTGCAGCATGGCCATCCCCCCGGGGGGTGATTTCTCGCTCTCTGTCTCTCTGTCTCTCTGTCTGTCTGGCGAGCGCACGTGCCCTGCACGCACCCTATAGTGAAAACCTCTCCAAAAAAAAAAAAAAGAATGTAACCAAATCCACCTTTGGTCCATTGTGTTCAGCTTGAACAATAAGAAAAAATTCTCCCCATTTTTACCTATATGTAATTGAAGGGGTATTATTGCACGAAATGTCTACATTTTAAAGAGGATTAAAATGGTGGAAAACTAAATGAGTAAATGTGTTGAATAACAACACGGCACGGGATGGCTCTGGGGTAAAGGCGGCGGTCACTGCTGAAAGGCGAATTGGATAAAAAGGGATTCTTCTCCTTCCCTCATGTAGTTCCGCACTCCTCATCGGATCATCCTGTCGGGCTCGCCCATGCAGAATAACCTCCGCGAGCTCTGGTCGCTCTTTGACTTCATCTTCCCGGGGAAGCTGGGCACGTTGCCGGTGTTCATGGAGCAGTTCTCTGTCCCCATCACTATGGGCGGGTATTCAAATGCTTCCCCGGTACAGGTAATGTATTGGCAGGTGACACTTTCGGCATTTTGAGTTTTAAAATGTTCCGATTAGATTCTATGGTTTGGGGGCCAGCAGGTGGCGTGGTGGTTGGGGCACTGGCCTCTCACATGGCTGACCACGGTTTGAGTCCTGGACTGGTGGCTTCTTTCTCACTTTCCCTCTCTTGCTCTCTGGCAAGCACATGTGCCTTTTAGCTAATTAAAATAATGATAATAAATAAAATAAATAATTCTTTTAAAAAATCCTGTACTATGTATACAAGACATTCAGAATATAAGGAGAATGGCTAAGCCTATAAATTGTATCTGATAAAAAAAAATAACAAAGTTATTTTTGCTTGATCATACTTTTCCAGACAAGCTTGAAAAAACTCAGGTAAATTTTTCAAGAAAGCCCCAAATAAACCTTCTCCTTGTATAATAAAAAGGAAATGATTTTGGTGTTGGGTGTTCCTGAGATGTTTCTGGCAAATAAGAAATGCGAAGATGTCCCGTGAGAGCTAAGCACAGCCAGAGGTTCTGAAGCAAGAACACATCAGTCGTGACCAGCGTGGGATTCCGGGTGCCTTGAGGATCTTACACGGAGCTCAGCACAGAGGGTTGGGCTGTTAAGGGAAGACTTCATGAGAGTCACGTTGCTGCGAGTTAGCATTGCACCAACATTTTGCCACCTTGGCTTTATCACCCTCCTCCACCTCTCCATGAATGTACGTAAACCAGGCTGTCTCTTCCTGAGTCATCCGAGAGGAAGTATCGGACATGATGCCCCTGTCCTCCAAGTCCTTTGAGGTGTATTAAAAACAAGGAGCATCTGTGACATAGCCATGGCATAAATGTCAGATTAACATTCTGTCCTTGGACCCGTACTCCTCCACGCTTTGCCACTTGTTCCAGTAGTTCGTGTGTCTCTTTAGTCTCCTTTAGCCGGGAGCAGTTCTCTGGTCTTTCTTTAGTCCGTCACGACCTGGGCAGGCCTGTTATTTTGTAGACTGGACCTCCTCTGGTCCCAGAATGGTCTCGCGTTCCTCCTTATTGGGCTCAGGAACGCGTTTCGGCAGGAGCACTGCAGAGGTGCTGTCTTTGTCGGTGTATCGGGTCTGGCATTACCTGCCGTCGGTTTGTCTCATCACTGGTGATGTTAGCTCTGATAACCTGGTGAAGCTGTTTTGGCCAGATCTCTAAAGTCTGAAGTTACCACTTGGCCTTTGGAGTTAGTGAGCTGTTTTTGAAGAGATGCTTTGAGAATGTGTGAATAGGGTCGGTTTCTTCTTGAAGTCCTTGCTTGAGAGTTTATGTTTATTCCTTTCTAGAAGGGGAAGTCTTCCAGAGCAGTGTTCCATTTGCTTCTCATTGTCATTCAATCCTAGGGAGATGTCCCTGTGGAGATACTCATTGTGTCGGGCTGGAGCTGAAATGCTGGGAGAGGGCTGGAAACAGAACCTTCTGAGCAGTACTCCTCGTGTGGCCAGGGGACCGGCCCTGGGGAGAGTCGTGAACATGGTCCTGGTGCAGGGTAGCAGGGAGATGGCCACTCTCAGAGTGCGTGAAGCTCAGGAGAGCTTCTGGAGAAAGGATGGTGAAGCCAGGACCTGAGGTCACAGGAAGGGAGGGCAGAAGCGTCCCAGCCCCATGGATGTCCTGCAGCTCTGCAGCTGGGTTCAGCTCTGGCAGGAGGTTGAGAACTGGTAAGAGGGCAAACCTCCGTGTTTCACACTCAAGGTTATTGGGACTCGGCACTTTGGTGACTTTCCCAAGGTCACTCCTCTCTGGAAGAGAGAATCTGGATGTCCCTGCCACTCACCTTGTCAGGAGCGGGAAAGGCATGGTCTCCTGCAGTGAGGTGTCCATGGTCCACAGCATCCAGGAATAGGAGGGGCAGAGAAATACAGTGACCTCACCTTGCGTTTTTACTAACAGAGGGATAGACATGGGAGCCAGGTGTAGACTAAACACCAAACCATCTCCAGAGGAGAGGATGGGAGCCGAGTGGCCAGGCCCCTGCTCGGCCCAGCCCTGGTGTAGTTTACTGGCGTCCCCTACCTCCAGCCAGCACCTTCCTCCTTGTGGAGAAGTGAGCAGAGGGAAGCGGTGGGGAAAATTCCTTAACACTGTATACCTGCTTCCTCTGCGGGGTCAGAATGCACGATTAAATTCTGAAATGTAATCATCCCTGCTTCACAAGTTATACTATACTTCTTCATCATTTTAAAAGTAATTTTTACTATCGTCCGGATGGTGTATTCAAAGGGTTATGTGTAACTAAAAGTTGTTGATCAGTTGAGCTTCTTTGTTAGTATCTGCTATTCCAAGTAAAACCTGATTTCTGTGTTTACACGCATATATTCACACATTGTGTACGTATGAACATATGCACACATGCACATAGTCACACATTGTGTACACATGAATATATGCACGCATACACACTTGAGTGAGTGTTCTTAGAGTTTTTAAAATGTTTTTAACCTGTTAGCTTTTTTCCTAACTCGAATTTTTCTATGTGTATTAGGGTCGAGCTCTTGTTATTATTCATTTAACAGCTAACCTCCTTAAGTGTACGCTTTGTTGGGGATTTTTCTTGTTCCATGAAACAGTAATTTACTACGTTGTTAAGCCTATTTAGATTTTTTAAGTGTCAGTAATTTATTGAGTTCTCTGTGCCTTGAAGTGAATTGCGCGGGGGTGCTTTCCTGGGCCGTGGGCCTGTGCTCCTGCATGCACAGCTGGTCCCCACGTTGTGGAGCCGTGTGCTCTTCAGGCCACAGTGACCTTTCGCTTCGGGGTCACGGCTTTCTCGCGCCACGCTCCCAAGTCTGCAGTGGGCAGTGAGCTCTCGAGGCCGCGCTGCCCTTGGAGCTGGCTTTGATCTCTGGTGGCGCGGAGGGGCAGCGCCGTCACAGCTTCTGGAGAACACAAGATTATAAGCAGAGACTCATCTGAAAGCAGTTTTCTCCCCTAGAGGGTGGTCAAGAACCAAGTAAATCTCCACTTTAGAGTTTAACTATATAATCATAATTAAAGCAAAGTATAAAAGAGGAATAAGGCACAAAAGTATTAACTATTCTTTTGTACATTTTTGTTAATGAGATAAAACAAGTAACTAAATGGAGTAAGTACACTTTCTTACTGACATTTATGAAAGCTCCTCCAGAGTATACGGAAGTGAGGCTAATTTGTCCAAACCGTTTTCTGAACATTTCCAACCAGTTCTGTACAGGCACTGGACATGGTTTTATGTTTACGCAGCAGAGTCAGTTGAGAGGTGAGGACAAATGCGCTCTTTAACTGTTCTCTCCCTCCTCTCATTAAAGGTGAAGACTGCGTATAGGTGTGCCTGTGTCTTACGGGATACCATAAACCCATACCTGCTGCGGAGGATGAAGTCAGATGTCAAGATGAGTCTGTCTCTGCCCGATAAAAGCGAGCAGGTCTGTAACTCGGGGGCTAAGCTGTGCGTTCCTTCCACTCCCCTCAGCCGAGCTGCGCTGACAGCTGTGCCGAGCAGTGTGTGAGAGCATCGCAGACGGGGGTGGTCCCAGCCGTTGGGGCTAGGATGGAGGGACCCTGAACTTGCCTGTGGGCAGGAAGCCAGTCGTCAGGGTCTATTGGGGCAGGGGAGAGCAGACCGTCTTTTGTTGTTTTAGTAAAAAGGACATTATTAAAATGCATGTCTTGTCTTTTGATGAAAGATTTGTTATATTTTAATGATTTTATCCTGAGTTTTTAAATGGCCACTTGTCTTCTCCCTGTAGGTCTTATTTTGCCGTCTCACAGAGGAGCAGCATAAAGTGTACCAGAACTTCATTGATTCCAAAGAAGTTTACAGGATTCTCAACGGGGAGCTGCAGGTCAGCCCGAATAGGAGTTGGAGACGGGAACGGCACGGGGGCACGGGGCAGGGAGGAGAGGGCTTCCCACCTCACGGCACCTCGGCTCGTCGCTGCAGTGCTGGGCAGGGGACGTGGTCGCTTTACAGCCCGGAGACGCTGAGGTGCCAGGGAGCTGGGAGGACCCAGACACAGGTGTGGCCACAAGGCCGTGCGGGTCCTGCTCCTCCTGAGGGCCTTCTCTGGCAGGCGAGGGAGTCTGGCCACACGGCTGACTTTCCTGGACGTCCTGACCCACATTCTGTATTCAGAGGACCCGCATCTGAGGATGCCGAAGTGTCACCAGTCCTTCAAGAAGCCCCATCTCTCAGTTAACCCAGTGTTAGAAATGAGATATAGTCCTGGTTCAGACGTGTCTCCCTCTACTTCTCGTCATTCCAGTGTGTAAAGGACTGTTTATGGTCATATTCTGTCTGTTCCAGTAATAAAATAGCTCTCCTTATGTTATTGTCCAGAATTCAGAAGTCACTAGATAATGTCTTCCCAAAGATGCCATCGTGTAAACAATCTGGACCTAATCGTGGGGCAGCTTTCCCACTGCTGTGTTCTGGGTACTCGGACTGAGAGTGAGCCGCTGGGACTGCACAGCGGGGGGACGAGGTGGGACATGGCCGGCCGGGGCGTGTGGGCTGGGATCCGGGCACTTTATCAGGTGGCATGTGCTGCCGTTGGGTTGGGATTCTCTGACCCCATTGGAAACATTTTGGTGAGAATTTGAGCCGGACATGAAGCCATTCTGAAAGTAGGAAACCCATGGTTACATTTCGCCCATTCTGCGGTGCTGTCACATGATCCCTTGCTGGGTCCAAGGGAAGGACAGCACTAAACCATAGGATCTGTGGTGATGAGTCCTGTGGGGACTGGTGGCCAGCAGAACATAGGGAGCAGCCCCAGCTGCTGGGAGAGCTCAGTGCACCAAGAAAGGCCGTGCATGCTTTTCTGTAAGTCAACCCCAATGGGCGGCAGCACGCAGACAGGCGTGGGCATGTGTCGGTGTAGTCAGGCTGCTCCAGAGCTGCAGGTGAGCTCTCTCCTTTCTGTTTCACGAGTGTCTCGACCTGTGCGTTCTGTCTTCTTGATTTGACGTGTAAGGTTCCAAGGGCAGGGAGGCTACGCCGTGGTCTGACCATGCTGTCTCACTGTCATCCTGGCAGAGCAGTAACTGAAGGACTTTCAGCGTAGACCTCAGGGAGCGGGCCAGCCTGTAGCAGGTGTAGGCGTGTGCATCCTTTAATACACTCTGATCTTGAGGTCCGCAGCCTCGGAGGCACAGCCAGGTCATGCTGGGTGCTCCGGAGTGCCCAGTAGCCCACTCCGCTAGAGTCAGAGATACAGGGACGGCGCTGCCTATGTTCATAACGGCCAGGTGGTTTTCCTTCAGCTCAAGTCATTTTCGTTCTTTTACCGTCTCCTCGCTGGCTTGGTCCGTGTTGGTATGTGTAGGAGGTCTTAGTCGCACACTGACTCACCTCCTACGTCGCCCCTTAACTTCTCCACGTGCCCTGAGTCAGGTGATCTGGGTCACAGAGCCGGTAGCTAGAGAATGTGAGCCACACTTGTTACCTCATTTTATTCTAAAGCTTATTTATTCCACGAGTGGGAGAATCAGAGAGTGCTCCCAACAGGTTCTTGGTGCGTGACCCACCCAGCCTTGGGCATCCACAGACACGGCACACACGTGCCCATACCCTCAGGGAGGTCTGGGCACGAGCCTGCCCGTCCACGTGGCTCAGCCTCACAGTGTTGTGTCCTGCGGCTGGGCTCCCCCAACACCAGCACACTGTAACTTAAGGTTTCCTGGTAATCCCATTAAAAAAGGTGAAAAGAAAAATAGATGAAATTAATTTTGATACATATTATATTTAACTTCATGGATCTAAGGTATCTTTTAATATATAATCAATGTTTAAATAATTAATAAAGCATTCTCCTTTTTGTTTTGTGTACTAAGCTTCAAATTTGGGTGTGTGTTCACATTTGCATTCTGCAGTGTGACCTTGCAGTGCTTCCCGTGCTCACAGCCACATGTGCACGGCACAGGGCCAGAGGGGGGACGTAAGTTCTAGGTGGCTCTGGAGTTGTAACAACGTCTCTGATGTACTCACATCACTCCGTTATTAGGTGCTGTCGTAGACCAAGACTGACATACCCTTAGACACTGGCTTCCTTGACGCTCTCCTTCCAGCATGAGCCTTTGTATCTGCATTTGATCTGCGTCACTCTGGAAGCTGTGAAGGAGCCCCGTATTCTAGCTGTGCTGATGTCCCCCTGCTGGGCCTGAGCTGGCACTGACCCTGGTCCCCTGTGTCCTGTGGTATGAGCCAGCTGCCATGTTTTCCCTGTGTATGCATTTTCATGCAGGCTTCATTTTGTTATGATTATGTAAGGTAAATGGCTTATTTTATTTTATTTGTTTAAAGATTTTTGCCATAGGGTGTGTACGCTCACCAAAGTGACAGTGAGAGGGAAAGTGAGAAATCACACCCACCCCCAGGGGATGGCCATGCTGCAGTCCTTCTTCCTCCGTTCTCCTCCTGGGATTTTGGGTGCCCACACCCATGTGCCTAGCATGAGTTTCAAGCCACCAGGTCCGGGACTTGAAGTGCAGTCAACCATGTGGGAATCCAGTGCTTTAATCAGCACAGCATCTGCTGGCCCCTCTCTGATTCATGTTAAACTACAGAACTTGTAGTGAGGTACTTAGAAGTGGAACTTAAAAAAAAATGTTATAATATGTGTGCATTTGCAGGAGAGACTGGAAGAGAAGGAAGATGCAAAAGCACCCCCCAGGGGAGAGGGCGCTTTCCCCCACTCCCCTTTTGGGATTTTGGGCATGTGTACACTTAGACCCAGAGTGTTTTTCAAGCCAGCAGGTAGGTTCAGGACTTGAACTATGCAGCCAGTCATGTAGGATCCAGCCACTCGAACTACCATGCCACCAGCTGGCCATTATAGATGCATTTTTAGCCGTGTGACTGGCTTCTGCAAATTTAGGTTGTTATGACATTTCTGATACATACTTAAACGTGAGTCGGCTTTTCTGTGTACAGGACAATGAATGATCAGCCATTGAATCTCTGTAGGCGTGTTCAGTCCAATAGAACCTTTTCCGGAGAATTCACCCTATCATGGAAGGAAGATGAGTGGAAATATTTACTGTGATTAGGGAAGAAGCTGGTTAAGCATTCCTTTTTAATCTGTCCCACATTGGACAGCCGCCTTCCCTTCCTGAGTGAGTGCTGTTCCACTTCAGGTAATCTAGTATACCTGTGCTCTTTCACACTATAGATTTTCTCTGGACTTGTTGCTCTAAGAAAAATCTGCAACCACCCTGATCTTTTTTCTGGAGGTCCCAAGAACCTCAGAGGCTCCCCAGATGACACACTAGAAGAAGATCAGTTTGGATACTGGAAACGCTCTGGGAAGATGATTGTCGTCGAGTCTCTGTTGAAAATATGGCATAAGCAGGGTCAGCGGGTATTGCTGTTTTCCCAGTCGAGACAGGTGAGCGTGCATACTTCACACAAGGAACAGGGTGGTTCTTGAGTCGTTAGCGTGACCGTAATAACCTGAAATAACGACGGTAAAGCGCGTCTACTGGTAAAGCCAGGCTAAGGCGGCAGCCTTGATCTCTCTGGGACTTTGGGTCTTTCTCGAGATGATCCAGAAATTGGCTTTCTGTTAAGAATTATTTTATTTAACTTTTGACCAGAGAGAGAGAAAGAGAGAGAGAGAAATAGAGAGCAAGCTGCCAGGTCCAGGGCTCGAACCACAGGTGGCCATTTGGGAGTCCAGTGCCTTTAACTACCATGCCACCTGCCGGCCCTCCCATAAATTGGCTTTCTAAAATGGCTTGCCCTGTAATTCTAAAGTGCTAGTGAATTGGACTTGAACTAGGCTGTTTACAGAAGTTATGAGAATTAACTAAGGAAATACTACAGGTGCTTTGTAACAAGTTGTACTTATCTACCTTAAAGTATGAAACCGCTTGTAACACAGGCCCATTGAAGAAGGTGTGTTGTTTACACAAATGTGGAGTGCTCACTGGAACTACATCCTTGATTTGTAAACTCTCACCCTCAACTCCCAACAGATGCTGGACATATTCGAAGTATTCCTTAGAGCCCAGAAGTATTCCTATCTCAAGATGGATGGTAACACTACGATAGCTTCGAGACAACCACTGATTACGAGATACAATGAGGTAACAAGTCATGATAACGGAAGAGCCGAGCAGAGGTGCCGAGCATGGAGGGTGACCTGCACGGTGCTTCTGTCGGGTGGGGCAAGGTGTGAAGGGGAACATCTGCTTTTAACTCTGTGCACCTGCGGGTCTTGGGGAGGTGTGTTTGTGTGTGTGTGTACATGTGTGTGTGGTGTTCTCCTTCTTGAAAGCCCAAGTTTTAAATACTGCTAATACAAGATGAGCAGGAATTTTTTTTATGGCTGTGAGCTGAGAACTTGATTCACCAGAGGACTCTCGGCCACGAGCAGTCCGCGTTGGGAGTGCCGTAGTTCCCGTGTGCACGAGCAGTCCGCGTTGGGAGTGCCGTAGTTCCCGTGTGCACAAGCAGTCCGTGCGTTGGGAGTGCCGTAGTTCCTGTGCGGCCCGTGTGCTGGCCGAGGAGACGTTGCGCACCCTCGGTGTCTGTGTCTTGCCCTCAGGACCCTTCCATATTCGTGTTTCTCCTGACCACGCGGGTGGGCGGCATCGGAGTCAACCTGACAGGGGCGAACAGAGTCCTCATCTACGACCCCGACTGGAACCCCAGCACCGACACGCAGGTCTGCTCTCTGTTTCACAGAGGAGGTATTAGCAGAAGTAGTTTCGCGGTTAGCGCTCAGGATTGCCCCTCGGTGTTCTAGTTGGCTTCAGCATGCAGTTGGCACTTGGGTGGCTTCCTGTTCTTCAGCCTGAGAGAAGACACCCCTCAGAGTCTCCATCAGTTCATCTCTAACGACAGCGGCTAGGTTTGGGGTACACAGAGCACGTGTAAGGTTACAAACCTTTTCTTATTTTCAGATGGAGACGCCTTAGTTCTAGCCTGTCTTTGTCAGCTGGCTGTTCATCTTCCTTAATAGGCCTTAGGTGTTCTCGGTCTCATTAGCGAAAATTCTAACTCGGAGTGAAAGGCAGTGACTAGCCCCCTCTGTCTTCTCAGCCGGGACTTAGGCCGGGAAGGACTCTTGTTGAGTTGAACATCTCTGCTTCAGGCCCGGGAGCGAGCATGGAGAATAGGCCAGAAGAAGCAAGTGACCGTGTACAGGCTTTTGACTGCAGGCACCATCGAAGAGAAGATTTACCACCGGTCAGTACTGCCCTCCTGGACTCTGTGCACCCAGAGTTTTGGGCAGGGGATTATTGTAAAGTGTTATTTTAAAAAGTCTTCACAGGGCCAGCAGGAAGTGTGGTGGTTAAGTCGCTGGACTTCCACGTGACTGACTGCGGTTTGAGTCCCAGACCTGATGGCTGGGTTTCTCACTTTCTCTCTCTCTCTCTTCCTCTCTTTCTTTCTTGTGAGTACATGCCCTATAACAAATTAAATAATAATAATAATAATAATAAAATAAAATAATTATTTTTAAAAAAGTCTCCCTGGTATAACTTAAGGGATCTGGTTTTTTGTTTCTGTTCTGTATTTTTTTCTCTCCCATTAAAGTAAGTATAGATTATATTCTCGTGAGTTTATTATTTTTTCTGAGTCATGTTACTATTTATTGCGAGTTTTAAAAACGTCCCTGGCGTCTGTGCCCTTCTCTGCTCGAGGACTGCCGTGTGAACTCTGTCGCAGTTGTTGTCTGACAGGGACGTCCTACCTATTTTAGTGTGCCCCTTTCACAAAAAAATTAAAAAGGGACCGAGTTGAATGGTGCCACATTTATAGCATTTGACATTTACGCAGGCCACACAGACGCGGTCAGTGCAGTTTCCTGGGGGTCTGTGGTTCAGGTGCCCCTCCTGGAGAGGTTGAAGGACACCTTTTTTCCCCTCCCTCTTTCTGTGTAATGACCAGGGTTTGCAGACAATGGTAATTTCAGCTGTGCCATTGAGACTGCCTTCTGTTCCCCCTCTCCTACCGAAGACTTGATTCTGTTCTTTTCAAAAATTTAAAATAATTATTTATTTTATTTTATTTATCATTATTATTCTTTCATTTGGCCAGAGAGAGAGAAAGCACAGCACCAAGTCCAGGACTTGAACCATGGTTGGCCGTGTGGGAGTCCAGTGCTTTAATCACTGCGCCATATGCTAGCCCCAAGATTTTATCCTTAAGTTGTACCTCTGCTCCTAAAAGGAGGCTCCCTGCTCTCCCCCATGTGCTGGGCTGCCCAGGAATTTTTTTTTGGAATGCCACACATTATTCAGGGGCCTGTGACAAGTGAGCTGGAGGCCAGGGGGAGCCTAGAGAGCAGAGCTTCCTCTGAGATACGCACTTTAGCCTGCAGAACAAGCGACTGGGAGGGGACAGTGCTGCCCTGTGAGACACATGTGACAGTGCGGGGGAGGGGGCCTTTGGCACCCAGTGTGGGCCAGCAGGGGGGAGTGTGGGGGTACAGGTCAGAGTGGAAGTTCTGTAAAGCGCATATGGAGAGTTCCCTGAGCTCAGCATAGGATTTCCTGAGTCGGGCAGGGGACCCTCAGTTCACCAGTCAGGGAGGCTGACTCCTGGCAGCTCAGACAGGCCATGGGTCACATAAGTGTGTGTGAAAAAGTGTTCCTTGAAATGCGGTGGATCTTGGAGGTTGAGAATGCTTGCTGGGTATAAATAAGGTATTATTCCTAATTTCAGACCAACAGATGTGTATGCACTTCCTGAATTGTGATCTCCCAATCAACTTCAACTTTGAGGTTTCATAGCAGTGTAATTTTTATCTTTTTAGACAAATCTTCAAGCAGTTTTTGACAAACCGAGTGCTAAAAGATCCAAAGCAAAGACGGTTTTTCAAATCCAATGACCTTTATGAGCTGTTCACGTTGACGAGTCCCGATGCATCCCAGAGCACAGAAACAAGCGCCATTTTTGCAGGTATTACATAAAATGATGTAATTACAAGTGATACATGATGTAAGAATTGTACAGTGTAACATTAGCTGTGCTTTTCTCCTTCACAGGCACTGGTTCAGAGGTTCAGACACCCAAACGCCATTTAAAAAGAAAGGTCCAGTCAGCATTTGCAGTAGGCCGTGACATTCCAAAACGCAAGAAGTCCCCTGACCCCAGTACATCCGTGCACAGTGCCACATCGTCTGCGGAGGAGCCTAAGTCTACGGGAGTTGCAGTAACTGCTAATGAAAGTGATCCTTCGAAAGATGGTCCTCACCCACGTGGTGACGTAACCAGCAGTGATGGGCTTGGAGTGGAGGGAGCTGCAGCGTCTAGACTAGAGGAGTCATCAGGGATTAGTGGACATGAGAAAAGTTCAGACCCTCCAAGAACTGGCAAAACTTCCAGACTGTCTGCTGAGGAAAGCAGCCATGAAAAGCAGGGTCTTTCTTACGAAAGGGCAAACTGCCAGGGTCATACAGAACCCCACTGGGAGAATGAACAAGTGGAAAATAATTTTTCTAAGCACAAGTCAAAAACGAAACACAGTAGTACAGCAGAAGAGGTCCTGGGTAAACTCCCGAGGCTGAAACTAAAGCCTAAGAAACCCAAGTATCTTAGAGATGCCAAGTTCGAAGGAACTCGCATCCCACACCTGGTGAAAAAAAGGCAGTACCGGAAGCCAGATGGTGACCCTGAGAGTGAGACCCGGGAGCGGAGCAGCGATGACTATGTGTTGGAAAAGCTTTTCAAAAAGTCAGGTAATCTTTCGATGTGTTTGCCATGGGGTGGTGGCAGCAGATGTGAGTAGGCTTCTCCTTGTAGTAGTAGCCTTCAACTGACGGTGCAGGGTGTGCTCTCTTTTCTTCCGAAATTCAGATTTGAAAGGTATTGCTATTTTAGAAATTGTATTTGCTCCTCTCTTTTGAAGACCTAGAAGAATTAGAAGCTTTGGTAAGTAGTAGCACTTACAGCCACTCACAGGAGAGGTGCAGTGCTTTAAATAGATGTGTGCGGCCTGGACTTTGATCGGCAGTTTCCTTTCCTCTTTTTAGGTTCTTGCCATAGGGCTATGTACTTGCTGGAGAGAGAGACAGAGAGTGAGTGTGAAGGCAATCCCCCAGGGGGTGTGACCTTGCTGCAGTCCTTTGTCCTCCATTCTCCTCTTTGGATTTTGGGCACACACCAGACACAACTCAGCATGTTTTCAAGCCACTGGGTTCTGTGACTCAAACTGCACAGTCAGCTGTGTGAGGTCCACCAGTGTGTTTTTAAGCCACCAGGTCTGGTACTCGAACTGCCCTGCTGGCTGTGTGGGATCCAGCTGCCTTAACTTCCATGCCACCTGGCTGGCCCAAGCAACTTTTCATAGGGTCATTTACATCTTTTTATTTATGTGAAGTTTGTATTTATGTCTTTTACTTGTTTTCTTTTCTTTCTTTCTTTCTTTCTTTCTTTCTTTCTTTTTTTTTTTAAGAGGTTTTTGCTATAGGGTGTATGCGCTCGCCAAAAAGAGAGATAGAAAAACTCACCCCCCCCCCCCGGGGGGATGGCCATGCCACAATCCCTTCTCCTCCATTCTCCTCTCAGGATCTTGGGCATGCACGCACATGCGCCTGGTGTGAGTTTAAGCCACCGGGTCCGGGACTTGAACTGTGGTTGACTATGTGGGAGTTTAGCGACATAGCCATTATGCTAACTGCTGGTCCCGTATGTCTTTTACTTGTTTTCTACATCAGGTTTTTGGTCTTTTTTTTCTCTCTGGTTTTAAAGAATTCTTTATAGATTAGAGGCATTAGCTCTTTATTTATTTTTTGTAGATTTTTTGCCATACATGCATTTGCCAGAGACAGACAGACAGACAGAGAAAAATCACTCCCTCCACC